TTAATTAACCATAGAAAGCTGCTAATGATGAAGCCTGAGATGAATGATGAGCTAGTGATGGGTTCTGAGATCATCTGCTATCTTGTGAAAAGATTTTTGTCGAAGAGTGATGCTGTAATTCCCTTTGCTACCCAGTTAAACCTCCATCTGCTCCAAGAAGATGTTCTGTCCCTTTCTGTGCTCTGAGGACTTACAGCTAAACTGCCCCATGGAAATGCTGATTTCTCCATTTTGTGCATCTTCGTATTCTGAATTAAAGCAGATAACAATCCCGACGTTCCAGTTAAATCATGTGTAACTTTCAGTATGAAAACTTCCATCTCTGTGAAGTTGTAGTAAGTTGAACATAACCGTCTGTGAGATGCTTAGAGTTGGGTGTGCAGTAAGTCTTGTCTACTCTGATATGACTGACAGCATTTCATCATGAAATTTCTAGAACTCTTTTGTGAGAAAACCTAAACTAGTTTGTTCTGTAGGTAAGACTGAGTAGATCTACGTAGAGACTAACTTAGGTAAGATGCTCAGCTTGCGGTAGGCTTGTGCCAGCTGTTAAGTGTTTAATAATTAAGCAAAGTACACAAGCAGATGTTTTAATGGAAAAAGATGAGTTAAAGGAACTGTGCATCTAAAAGCCTAACAGAAAGGAGAATTGCAACTCTTCGGTAGTTGTTGTTCTTGACCCCATCAAACTGTTTACTGATAGCTTGTGCAGACAATTTTGAGTATTGAGAAATTCTTCCTGTTGAGATAACTGCCGTGTGCTGCCAGTGGCTGTCATCGGGGGGATGCCACGTTAGAGGGCAGCTGCAGAACCGAGCTTGCACAATGCTTTGCTTGTGGAGCTGTTGTTTGACTTGCTTGCTGGCCGGTTGCATCATTTCGATCTCCTGGGTTTGAGGGGGGGGGGAAGTTGGCTGCCGAGGAGAATTTCATCTGGGCTTTCCCTCTGCCGGTGGCAGGGAGAAGGGGAGTGTGGGACGGGGACGGCAGGCAGGTGGTGGTGCACCGAGGAGAGGGCATGGTCTCTCCGGGGAGGCCAGCTGTTCCTGAGCCCACCCCTGCTCCGTTACTCATCTTCTTGGTAAACTGCCTAGTGTTGTAAAGCTTGAATTTTAAGGCTAGATTAAATACCACAGCTCTCGTCCAAGCAGTAAAAGGATGAGTAAAAACTCAATTTGGCAATTGTTTTGCCCTGACAATTGCAATGGCATTTGAAACTGATGCGCTGTGACTGTGCTACATGGAGTGTTTATGGGACGTTCAGCTTTATGTAGCAAACGGTGTATTGTGTGAGCAGAAATATGACAGCTTTATTTTTTGAAATGGCTTTCTGTCTGAAAACCTGTTCCTTTTCTGCTTTAACAGTGGGAAAACTTTTCCTTACCACTCCCGCATCATGTCATAAATAATGAATTGTGTATGCAAATATGCTTTGGGTAGGTCTGCATGACTTGACTTGAGCTTTTGGCCACCTGGGACTTCTATTCTAAATACTTGTAAAATCCATTCTTCCCAGCCCTTACCTTCTGTCCTATTCCTCCCAGGAGAGGGAGAGTTAGTAAACTTGGAGGATTTTGCTTTCAGCTCCTCTGCTGCAGAGTATCTGGTGCTTTGAGTTACTAAGTACAGCTGAAGGAGTCATCCTGTTGCCCTGCCCCAGCGTTGCCCTTATTTGATTCATTTATTTCTTCGTGGTCATTTAGAGCTCTCTGATTCTGAACAGTGAAAAGGTTAAACCATAATCTTCTCCAGTAAGGTTTTGCAAGTGGTTTTTTTTTTGTTTTTTTCATCTTAAAATCACAGGTCTCCATCAATTTAGTCGACCGCTTCCAGCAGACTTTGTCTTGCTTGTGCTTGTGACACTTCTCCTTTTGGTCTTAACATATGTTTATTTTCCTAAAACTTGAGGACAGTGGATGCACTAAAAGTACCAGCGTGGAGGATGCTACAAGGAAAAGCTTAGGAAACTAAAAAAACATTAGGCACTTGTTCCAAATGAGGGCATACTAGAGTTGAGCCTTTCTTGAGGTATGCACCCTTGAGTAATCAATTAATTAAGTCTTTGCTGCTGGTGTCAGGCTCCCTCATCCTTTTAGGCTGAAGTGTGCTAGTGGCGTATGCACATCTAGACTGCAGTGTCTCCCCGTGTCCTCCTCCCTGCCGTGCTCCGATGGAGTTAGCACGTCAGTAAACGCAGTTGCGTGCAGTTTCTTGGCCCCTGCCTCGCAGATGTTATGTTTATGTTGTAATTCTCTCTGAAAATGTTGCCTGATCTTTCTGGGGAAAGAGGAGATAGGAGCTAAATTGTCAACTTAATTTTCCTCTCTGTCCACAAGCATAGGTCAAAGGCCTGGAATAAAACCTGTAGGACAAAGTTCAAGCCAAGCTGTTGTTTACATGGTCCCTCATGCTTCTTGGGCACAGGCTGAGACAAGGCAGGGGGGTGTTAATGACTTTGGTTTTAAATTTCCTGTGTCCCCTTTGGTTTAGTGGGATACTGTTGCCTTCACTTATCCCAAGGGGGTAGGTGGCTCAATCCAAGACTGGAGAGCTTCCCTGTGGCTCATCTAGGAAAGCAGGCATCCTCCTGTGATCACAAAGATGTCCTTACTGGAAGACTTGTTACAAAGCTTGGAGGAATTTAGGAGGAGAGTGTTGGAACACTGGTTTTGTCTGTTTTTCTTTCCTCCTCTTTCACTGTTAGGAGGAAAGCAGTGATTAATACAGCTGGATGTTAAATGCAGCATTTTCTGTTGGCTCCGACTTCTTTCTAGTATTCAGTTTCCAGACGTAGCACAGACAGACAGTAGCAGTCGAGTTTTTCGGTTAGTTTAGGATCCTTCATAGGAGGAAAAATGTTCAGTGATGATCTGTGCTTAACTTAGCTCGTCTTATCTTGAAGATAGGTAACAGTCTAATATAGGAATAGCTAACTTTGTTTTAAAATGGAGTGCTTCATTTGCTGGTATGGGTGAAGAATGTGGAAGCATGAACTCTTGGTAGCAACGTCATAAGCTTATAGCTGAAGAATAAATAGCTCGAAAGTTCATTCACTCTCTAAGTGGTGTCCAAAATACACAGTTTCAGAAAGATGCTGGGATGCATAGTCTCAATTCTAAGTCTGTCCTTATTAGGATGAATTCAGATGTGCATGATTGTTCCCCCCCCCCGCCCCTGGCTGGAGCAGCAGTTTAAAGGGCAGTGTTCTCTGTAAACTCATGCACAGTGAGTGTGACACCTTTAGTTGTGCCGTTAGATGTATCAGAAAATGGTATCCAAAAGCTTGATTTGAGAAAAAGCAGATCTTGAAAGGTTGCGTGCTCATTGGTCTTTTGCGGGTCTGTCTGGGCTTTTAGCATTGTATCTTGAATAAACTGGCACGATTGGTAGGAGACAGCAAAGGGATAAGCATGGCAGAGCTGGGCAGTGATGTTAGAAGAAACCAAGCAATGAGTCGATGAAGGTTATGACTGTTAGAATATACCCAAATGATGGTGCTTGTGTAACATTTTCTTCTTTCCTCCTGATGAAGTAAATCGTGGAAGTGTTGCAGTTAACGAAGGAATTGACTGCGTGTGTAATTATAAATATTAAGCCAAACTTCCTTTGCATCACTTTCATCCTTGTGTCTTACTTGCCATTTTTTAGAATGTCTTTAACAAAATAACTTCCTAAGTATGCTGATGGTAATAAATGTGAACAGGTTCAAGAGCTTTGTATGATGAAGCAAAAGTGGAAAACTGTTTTTTAGTATCTTCTGAAGGAATGCTTAGGAAAGAACTTTTTCTACAGAAAAGTATAAACGTAGCATAGTCTGAGCACTGCAAGTGGCCAATCTTTATCCAATGCAATTAGTTCTTGAAAATAGTCTTGCTATATAGTGCAGCCACAGCATTGGTTACTTATGATGTCATTGAAAGGCTTCCACTGAGTAGGATGGTCTGGAGTCAAAATTTAAACTTGAGGTCATATTTTGTTTGTGCTTCTTGCTGATGAGAAGAGTATAAAGGAGCATGAAGAATATGCTCATGTGCAAAAGTAGCTAATGCACTTGGCAATCTTTATAAGAGTGTATTTGTCCAGTAAACATAATGTAATAGGATCTGGTAGATTCCCAAATCAGAAGATGTGCTGTAATGGGAATTGTGTTAAGACTTCAGTAATGCTTTGAAAAGTCTTGAGTTGCAGAGCTTTAAAGGTGTTTTTTATGGTCAATGTATGTGATTTGCTTTTACTGTCTTGTAAAATCTTTCAAGACTAATTAGTTTTATTTTTTTCGATCTGCTACTAAGTGCAACATTTTGCATTACTCTTTATTGGGGGTGTATGATCAGGTCAGCGTAATTGACAGTGGGAACATTGAGTTGTCTGCAAAAGTAGCAGTTAAAATTGCTTTCAAAAGACAAAATCTGATGATGCCCCCCTCAATCAGTATGCTTATAATACAGCATTCCGTGGTCTGTTGTAGTGTGGCATTAAGAGGATTAATAGGAGAGTATATTGATCTCAAGAATTTTGAGATCATCCTTTAGTCATGGGAAATATGTCCAATCTCCTAATCAAACCCAATTTGGCTGATTCTGTCCAAGTTTCTAGTTTTCTGTGCAATGACTGAAAATTATTTCTTTTTCCTTGCTTCTCGACAGAAGAATCTTCCAAGTATAGCAGTTTGTTAAATTTAGTTTTATGAGGATTGGACGGAGCTACTTTTAGATTTGTTTTAAACTGGAGGAGGTGCTTAAATTGTGCTATGTTACAACAAAAGCAGAACACATATCAAGTAGCTTTTGTGCTATTTTTTAAATGTTCAGGAGACCCAATTACTAGGAATAGGCCCTTAATTTAAAAATAGGTCAGTTATAATGTATAGATAGTTTAAATGAACTATACAAAGCTCATATTAGCTCTTATAAAAGCATTAGTGTATCTGGTAGTAAGTGTAATGTGATAACAGCCTGAAGGCTTGTTTCAATACAGATCATCTTTTCCTTTCTTTGCAGGAAAATCTTCACTGACGATTCAGTTTGTGGAAGGACAGTTTGTTGATTCATATGATCCAACCATAGAGAACAGTAAGTAAATAACTAACAAGCTGCTTTTCTGTACCTAATTAACTTTTATCAGAAGCCACTGTGGTTATACGTATTACTTGTGGGCATTTACGTATTGACATTAAAGCTCATTAATTAACTGTTAAGTTTTATTACTCTTTTAAACCAATGCTTACCCAGCTTACAGTATTGCAGTGTGGAAATCACATATTTCTCTTTTAATACTAAAAGAAGGAAAACCTAATCAATTTGGCTAAAATTTGTCTCCTTGTATTACATATATGTTGCTGGACATCTGCTTCCCGTAATATAGCCAGGGCACTTCGAATTAAGTTTGTCATATCTATATGAAAAAGTACCACTAGATACAAGTATTCCAGAGTCTCAAATGTCTCGTTTGATCAGCATATCCAGATGGACGCAAAGCCAGCAATATCAGTCAAGAGTAAATGACTACCTCAGAAGGTAGGCATGCTACGGCCATGATAACATGATAATTTTTTTAAATTACGTGTTTCCAACTGCTTGGTAACAATCAGTTTGCTGCAGATGCTGGGTAACTGACTTCTCAAGTGTCCTTTTTCTCTTGGCAGTTTTTTTAATGTTAGTGCCTTTGTGAATAGCTAGCATAGCGGGTGAGTGAAGATACTAATACTAAAAATGCTGCCAAGAGCAACAACTCGCTTCAGAGGCGAGTTAAACCTGGTATTCGTTACAATCCAACCACCCCTTTCTGAGCTAGCAGTGGTCATAAAGTACTTGAGCAGCTGTGGCGCTAGGCTGAGTAACTTGATCGTATTGTCTCACTTCAGTCATGTGGCAAATAAAACTTTGATTTCATGATCGTAACCCCGGAGTAAAACTTGTGTATCAGGAAGAGTAACTTGTCACGTTTTGTGGCAGCAGCAGAGGTGAAATTTATTTGCTTAGCAAAATAGATTTTTGCCTTTCTGAATGTCCCAACAGGAGCAACACCACAATGGGTGGCTATTCTTGAGACAGCCAGGTTGAGAAAATAGTGGAACGATAACCTGTGGGAGTGTTGGGAAGAGGAGGAAGATCCCTGCAGAGCAGAAGTCTGTGTGGACACTGAGCTGGATGGGGCTCTGAAGGCAGATTAGCTCAGATAAGCTGAGACCAGAACAATACAAAACTAAAATTTTCCTGGAATAAAAACCAGAATCTTAACTTGGAACTCAAAGCAAATAGGTCAGAAGGAATAGATAATGAAGATGTGCGCATAACTCTCCCCACCCCCATCTTTGCAGGGATGTCTTTGGTTATCATTAATTCAGTGACTTTTTGTTGCAGGAAAGCTGACTTGGCTGCCTGAGTCTCAAAAATGTTTTCTCCAGCTCCTCTGAGGCCTGCCTGGCTGCTTTCTGCATTTCCTTGCAGTTTTGGAGAGGCTTCTTGCACTGTGCTCTTCCCTTCTCCCCTAAACAGGCTCAGTAGCTCCCTAAGGAAAGGAACAATCTTCTGCCAAGGGTTTCCTACCTTCATCCCATGTTTTTTAATATAATTGTGAGTAGGAGCGTATTAGAAACGGGGAGTGGGCTGGAGGCACCCTGGTAGTTTTGGAGGGGATACCTGTAGGTTTAGGTAGGTCTGCTAGAAGCATCTTTAAGGCTCATCTTCCTCCAAGCGTGTCACGGCAGCTGCACTGGAAGGGTGAAGTGTACTTCTTCCCAGGAGTTGCTGACGAGCAGCCTTCTCAAGGGGTGGAAATGAGGCTTCTGAGAAAAATTAGAAATAACTGTGTTGCATTACACATCTCAGTGTTGTAAAAGACGTCCTGACAGATTAGTGACGCGCATTGACTTTGGAATGAAGACGAGTGGAAGGGGATGCAGAAGGTAGTAACCGAGGAGCCCTTACGAGGCAGTTGTATTTAGCCACCAGCCAGGAGCTCTGGGAATAATGTTATACCCCCTCTCATACCTTTACTCAGTAGCACTGTTTATCTAAAAGCCTGCATTTGACTGCCTGGTACTGGTGTGGGTTTTATCATAATGGCTTGTTTTCACAGCAACTGTCGTTTGAGTTGTACGTGCAAATCGCTTCATTCATGTTAGCCTAATTGAAATATACGTGATCTTAGGGTAACGATGATCAGCAGCTGATGGAGTGGCTGCGTAAGTTACATTTCTGCTGAGCTGTAGCAGCATTAAGGACTGTGCTCTGCATGTAATTTTACCAGGACTTTCTCTGATGGCAAAGTGGCTTTAGTCTTGTTGCAACGCAGTGTTTGACTGCTGCACCCTGAACTGTACACATATATCTGTTTGGTGCTGTGCTGTTCGCTGCAGCACCAAATTCTCCAAGTTTCAGGAACGCATCCGAACTAGGAACAATTGTAGGTGGTGAAGGTGGGGATTGCAACTTTCTTCATATAACTACACTCGAGCTATGCGTTGCAAGGTGTAAGCGTGTCCTGTTCCAAGATCTGTGTGCTTCATGGAGCTAAAACAGGCTTTACCCATGCTTCAGCTGATGAGCAGTGTTTCGCAGATGCTCACATTATGACTGGGACTGCAGAGATTATTCAGGTCTGCTGAAATCTGTCCTTGCCATACCAGCAAGAGCCGTACTATGCCGTGATCGTGTTATCGGTTGTTTGTCTTGCTCATAGGCACAGCAGGAGGCAATATGTCCCAGGATGGTACGTGATGGAATTGGAAGTGAAAACTTCCTCTGGGTCCAGGAGACCTGTGGATCACTAATCACATTTAGTACAGCTGCAGGTTTTTCACGAGATGAAATTCTTCCCAGGAATATTTTTAAAAAGCTTCAGCAAAGAAACAGGAGTCATTAATTATGACTGCATCAAAGCAGATTTGTGTTCATGCAGTGGGCTGATCCTAGTGCTACAAGCCTCTGCACTGAGCTAACAGTTCTCCTCACCCAGTCTGTGGTGACTCCTCCACTGTTTCCCTTCCCCTGGCTCTGTCACACTCTGCTTCCAGTACCAATGATGACGATGTCTTTTCTGGGTCTATTCTAGGCTTCTAGAATAGTCTGAAAAAGCCGCCATCTGTCCCTGTCCCTTTTTAAATATTAACTTCATGAGGCTCTTGAAGCTACTTTGATTGCAGAGTGCTTTGATGTGTATGTGAAGTGTCAAGAGACCAGAGACTGTTATTTTTAATACACCTGCTAATGCAGTGTTTCTCCAGATGAGTCTGTTTTCCCTCTGACTTGCAGCGGTGATAGTGTATATAGCAACGCTGCATGTCAACATCTGTTCAAACAAACGGTTGCTTCTGTCCCCACCACAGTATTCATCCAAGGCAAAGAGCTGTTGTGGATTCTTACTTCATAACCCTAAAATTTTGTGCAGCAATGACAACAGCGTCCAGACAGTGATTTGAGAGCGGCTCGCATGCCCGGGTGCCAAAGTAGCTTTCCTGGGGGATAGAGAGGGTAAGGTAGAAGATCTTTTTGAGGCTCCATTGCACTTGTTGGAATTGTAATAAAACTGTAGGTACACTTTACACTGTTTGTTTAGACACTCTCCGTTAGTTTGAATTGCTCCCTTTGTTTAAAAAGGGTGCTTTCATTTACTAGGTGGGTTGAAACCTCCAGTTTCAGATATTTCAGCCCACTTACTCAAGTGAATACTCACATTGTGGAGACTTGACAGGGCACCGAGTATTGGCGGGGAGGAGGAAAGCTGGCCAGCTTTAGCTTCTAGGAGACCCTGTACAAAACCCAGAAGGCGTAGGCAGGAGACAGCACAGCGGGATCGAGAACGTTCAACTTTTCAGCTTCGGGAAGCTGTTGGACAACTTAAAGCATGATGAACAGGTCACTACAGTGTTGGCTATTTCCGTGCTTGTCACTGCAATGAAAGGTGAAGCTACGTAGGACTGTTTGTATTTGGGAAAAGCGCCTCAACCAGAGGACAACACAAACTTCACTTAATTTATAAGTACTGTCCAGTAATTGTGTCTTGAGTGCAATGCTAAGGCCAGAGTGGAGCTCTGAAGCCAGGTCTGTGTGCTCTGGTGGGAACATGTAGTGCTCGGTAGGACGTTATTCCTACAAGAGCCGTGACACTGTTTGCTTTTGCAGTTGCATAATGCAAACACTGAGTAAGATTCCTCAGCTCACAGTGCGTTGGCATTTCATGAATCCGAGGAAGAGAAGCAATTCTCATCGCTTCTAGGGACTGAATGTACTTCCTGACTGAGGAATAGATAGACTGGTAGCTGCAGCAAGCGTGGAAGCAACGTGGTGAATTTCTAGCTAAATTCTTATTGTTTAGTATATTCATAAGTTAGGCTGTGTGAGTTTTACCCCCCCTAAGATTTGTATTTATTTTTAATCCAGATGATTTACTTTGTGGTATTTACATTTAGGAAATTAACATGCTAGACTGCTTGGAAATGGGGGAAATATCCTGTAATAAGTTCAAACTTAGCTTTGATGCTAATTGTGTCACCACAAATTTATGGTTGCGTGGAAGTCTGTTAGAAATACATTTAAAAACCCTTTTTACTCTTTCTTTTTAAGTAACTAAAGGAGAAGCTGCTGCATCCGGTGTGAGAATCTTTGGATATTTGAAATCTTAAAGTAAATTTCTGAGTTTCGTTGTCTGCAATATGCTAGTTAAAAGTACAGCCACCTGACCTAGCCTTTTACTGCTACTTTAAAGCCTAAAACTAAAGTTCTTTTTGTTAGTGCCTTGGCTGACGATGGCATAGATGAGTGACTTCTGATCCCTTCCTTGTGTATAATTCTGACATGTTTATGTATTTGTTTGTTCTAGCTTTTACAAAACTGATCACAGTAAATGGCCAAGAATATCATCTTCAGCTGGTTGACACTGCTGGCCAAGTAAGTCATCTTTCTTTCTTTGAATCTTTCTTCAGAGTTAAGATTACAGGTATTCATACTCCTGTAGAGCTAAGTTGGTAGTGACCATGTGTTCAAAGGTGAAGGTTAACCTAAATGATTCTGCCTTGTCATTTAGTCACTGAGGAGCAGGTTTTCTATAGTGTTTATTTAAAGGCTTTGGTTTGGTTTTTGATTGTTTTTTTCCTGTCTATTGAATGGATGTCTAAAAAAGTGAAGAAGAAACTGCCTTAACTCTGTACCAAAAGTTCATAAGTAGCTTGCTTGCCATTTATAGACTAAACTAGCAGTCTTGCTTTAGGTGGAAAATGTCACTTCAATAAATTCCATGGAATATTTCATGACTCTTTCCTATTTGTGTGCTCTCGCTACACTTTTATCTGTGAAATAGTTATGGGAAATAGACAGAAATGCATATAGGTCACACTTCCCAGGCTAGCAATAAACTACTGTGGTTTGTTGACATTTTTACGTGCTGGTTCATGCGTGCTTCTGAGCCTTCACGTAATGACCGGGAGTGCAGGAGACAGCGAACGCGTGTCCTGTAGCGTGGTCAGTAGCTTCATGAAGTGCAGGTGTTCATTATATAGTGCAGCTTGGCTGAACTTGCACTGCACGTTCCATGCACAGGAGTGCTCTGTCTTTTGAAAGACTCTATATTAGGAAAAAAAAAACAGAATAGGGACTGTTAACCCCCTGTATTTTTATCCTAGACTTTTTATTGCTTAGATGTTCTTACCTTCTGTGATTCCTGATACTGTGCCTTTGGGTTTTTCCAAACTAGGAGTACTGTTAAATAATGTTAGTGTTGTAAAATATACTGCCAGCACTTAAGACTTTAAAGCTGCAGGACGCTTGCTCATAACTGGGAGACTATTCAGAAGGGTTGTAACCTTCTAGGTATGTTTGATCGCTTTCTTTAAAGAGAGCTATGTGACTTAAGAATAACCATACTGTATTTGTACGGTGTCAGCTTGTGGTGCTAATCAGCAACACGATACCCATTTATAATCTGTCGGAGGTGTCTGAAGTGATTAGAAGCACAATACTGGCCACAAATTCTGGGGCAAGATTGTTTGATGGGGAATATTCTGCAGAGGAGAGCCAGGCTGAGAGGTGGGCAGGCAGAGAAAGAAGCATGAGCAGTGGCACAAGCTCCATAGGTTTCACTCTGTGCCAATGTAGGTGTACTTGCCTTACATCCACACTTGTAGCATAGTGGTAAAAGTAAAATTTGTCTTTGAGGAAGAAATGGCCTTCTGGGAAGGCAGTGTAACTTCACTAGTGACATATCTCTATTGCTGAGGTTTCTTTTCAGAGTTGATTTAATGTTACACGGTGCTGTAAAACCAAAATAACTTCTTTCCCAGCCTGTGGTTATTTTCAGATTTGATTCTTCCTATGAATGACTTGAACTTTGAGTTCTGGTTCACAGGGTTGGAGGGGAGAGGTGATGTTGGGTTATGGAAGGTGTGGCTTGGACAGATTTCTTAAAGTCTGTCTTGCTTAATGATCCATAGGAAGTCCTCGTGTATACAGCATAGCAAGGGTTATATTGTAGATTTGCTACATACTTGAAAATTTGGCTGTGACGTGAAAAGTTTGTAGCTACGTTGTTTAATCGCTTGGCAAAGTTCTTAATTTGACCCACGAGTTCCAGGAAGCATTGCAGCTTTTCTTCCTCTTTCTAACAAGCTAAAAATTAAGTAATGCATTAGAAACAGTTGAGGTTATGGCGCTTGTTTTTCTTGGTACTGCTCTTGTGTTCTGTGCCTCTTTACCTTTCATGGTTATCTGTTCAGATAGTTCAGTTAAACAAGAGTCTTGGTGCAGGATCAGAGAAGAGGAGTGCAAAAGGAAATCTTACCTAACACCAAATTCCAGCTGGGGCAATCCTGAGAAATTCCGGGTAAAGTCAAACAACTACAGAGTTGCACTTTCACCAGTTTTACACGCAGGCTAACTCAGATCCCTTCTGTATTGACTTTGGGATTACAGGGCCAACTGAAGTGGCAGTTTGGCATTTCAGTGAAGATGGGGGAGGGCTGCCCTCAGTGTGTAGCAATAAAGGCAAATAAGGGCATCTTTTGTCAAGCGTTATTCTTTCAAACTTTTTTGGCTGAATCTGTGAAGTTGATTTATAAAGGGTTTTTCCTCATTTGCCAGTTAAGGAAGTTTGATTCCTTTTGGCTGTCTAGATTTAAGCTCTGTTGCACTGTTCCATCTGTTCAGTCATGACAATATACAGAGAGGTTATGTGATCTTAAGCTAAAATTAACATCTTAAGCATAGGTTTAAAAATTTGAGAACTCGTATATTAAGAAGTATGGCTCTTGTCAAAGTGGAAATGTTTCCTGGAAATATCTATTAGACCAATTTTGATTTTTTAACATGATATTCATAGTATTTATGTTGCATTACCTGTAATATGTCAGTTTGTTTCACTTACCTATCTGGTCACTTCCTTTTCTACAGGGGTAATAAATTAGTTGATTCAGTTTCTGGTATTCTGTTTGGTGTGTTGGTTTTTTAATTATTTTTTTTTTAATTAAACACTTGCTTTATGACTAGAAGTTTACATTATACAGCTAATAACTATATTTCTTGCATCTGTAGTTGATAAACATTAGTTAGGAAGCCACAGTTATTCACTTCCTAACAGATCCCTTAGGTAATTTAGATGTGATCAGCATCACTTGAAATTATGAACTGCTAGATCCTGTCATCAGCTGTTGAAACTGGGAATTTTAAATGTATCACTAGCAAGATAAGAGGCGTAATTGCTAATTAGTGGTAGGACAGAGTAGATGTTTTGTACTAATACAAATTGATAATTAAGCAGGATAAGAGGATTGGGAGTAGCTTTAGCTGATCCATAGTCTTAGAGGGAATAAACCAAAAAAAGCTGTAGCTTAAATTTTAGAATTTACAGACTGACTCAGCCTTCTATTAATTTGGTAAAGATTCCACATCTGACGTTATGATGAAAAAGAATGTCGGATGTTATGATGAAAATTCTGAAAGTACTAGCTATACAAAACGGCCCTGCACCTCATGTCCTAAAAATATGACCAACTAACCTGATGGTGATTTGCTAACATCAAGTTCTGAACTGTGGCAATAACTAATTTTAAATGCAATCTTTCTTCTACAGGATGAATACTCCATATTTCCTCAGACGTACTCCATAGACATCAATGGCTACATTCTTGTTTATTCAGTCACATCAATAAAAAGGTAATAAAATCTGTTGTGTTCTTCTGGTTCAGATATTAACCAGATACATTCTGGGTTCAGCTCCTGCCTCTGCTATGTTTTATGTGTTTAATTCTTTCAATTTCTCTTTCCAGGTGTAAGTAAAAGTGCATAGAATGATTTCAGGAATAAGTAAAGTTCATTGTTCTAGCGTCAGATACAAAGGCAGACTTAAATATGAACCTAAAGGGCACAGCACATTTATGTGAAGTACCCAGTTAGCTACTAGGTTGGTCCCTTAGCCTTGTGTCTTGTTACACTACTGAGATTTCCTTGACTTTTTTCTGTGATTGTTCTGGTTAACCATTAGAAATTTTCACATAAATAGCAATATATGAGTTTTGGCCTGTAGACTCGCTCTTGAGGTGCTGCAGCATATAATCTTACTTGAAAATTTTCCCAGAGTATCTCTTTTGTCGTTGTTGTTAGCTGTCCATTCTGACGTGAGGACAGAATCCATCGTAGCTGGAGTCATTTACTTGTAAGACACATCTCAGCCTTCATAAGGCTTTGTCATCTTCTGTTATTTTGCCCGTTCCTCTGGTTGTCTTGCTTTGTTTAAATACTGGACATTCATGAATAGATGTTAATTTTCTACTATTGTACAGCATCTTTGTTATGACAGCCAAAATAATACTATTTTCTTAAATTTTTGTTTGAGTAAAACAATTAAGAACTTAGACCTTTCACTCTCAGCAAGTACAAAAGAAGTTGATGCTTTCCTTCTACTTGCAAGGAAGCTGATCAGCTCTTTGAGTGTTGAAGCATTCCATGTCTTTTCCTCTGAATCAAACAAAACTGGTCATCTCGGGTGCTCTTTAGTAGACCATCGTCAAATATAGGTAAAACAACTTACCTGTTGGTGGTTCTGTGCTTCTCAAAGAAAGGGTATGGTCTGGTTATAAACTTGCGTTGCTTGCGAGGTCTTTAACGTTGAACAGATTTTCAGTCCTTCGTTGTTGGTTTTCACCTTTAGTTCTGAAGTAGTGAAGGTCAAGCACACGTGATCTGGAGGAAATGCAACAGATGTTAGGCCTTCATGTGTGTCTAGAGATTGCCTAACTCCTCTTTTCTTTTTTTTTTTTTTTTTAATGAGAGGTTTGGTGTTGGTGCTGAGTAACTTGCATGAAATAGGAATTAGTTTTCTCAGCTTTAAGTAGACAAACCTCCACTCCTAAAGTGAATAGAAAAATGTTCATTGATAAGTGGTACTGTGAGGACAACAGTGTCTTTGACTAAAATCAATGTAGATCGCTTGGAGGCTTCTGCAGCTTGTGCTGTTCCCTGGTTAGCAGCTAAAGAAAGGACTTGTTCTTTTTCAGCTACTCCAGTTGTTGCCTCATGATGTCTTGAGCTTAGCAGCACAGATGAAGAAATGAAAATCTGTTTTCTGTGGTAGCATTCAATCAGTTAAAACAAACCAAATTATGGTCAAAATACTAACAGAACAAGATACGTTAAGACTGTAGGTAGATAGTATTTTCATCAGTATTTTAGTCACGATCAATTTATTCCAAGGTTTTTGGTTCTTCCTTTAAATTTCAAAGTACCAATAATCCTGTCTTGTTCAATTCCTTGTGTTCTGTATCAAGACAGTGTTTAGGCAATATGAAGGAACTTCCACAATACTTAGCTTAGATGACTAGCCCAGGCATTTAAATTACCATCACCATCTGTCTTGGCTTCTGTCAAAGTGCGTATATTGATCCGAGTATTGATCTAGCAGGGGTGAGAGCTTTGATAGCAAACTTAATAGAAATGCCCTTTTAAAATTATCATCCTCCCTGTTAACCTCCAGTGGGAAGTTTAAATGGGACTTGAGTAGAAGCTGATGCCCTACATTTTTCGTATTCCTAGGCTCTCAGCAGCAAGGTTACTGGAAGGCTTTTGCTCTAAATGAGCTTAATTAAATTCCAATTTAGTATCTTGCTTGGTTCCATGATATTGTGTAACACATTTATCTGACATCAAGTAATTTTTTTTTGTTGTATTTCACACATTGAGCTGTTTGCTGTAACCCTATTTGCTTGATGAAACTGGAAGGGACTTCTTATGGTCTCCAAATCTCTTGCTGTTTCATGACTTGATGTGATGATGCTCTTTTTGGATTGGTCAATCTCTGTCTTAAAGTGTGTCACAGCTGCTTCTAGACTTACTAATTTGGAAAGCTTTCTAGAACATTAAATTGATCTGGTAAAGTCAACTTCATTCCTGGCAGTTGTTAGCAATTTGTTTCTGTGTCAGCATTGTCTTTGAGTTTAAGTAACTCTTTTGGTTTCCACCTTGATCTGTTGACAAAGATCATAGAATCATAGGATGGTTTAGGTTGGAAGAGGCCTCAGAGATCGCATAGTTCCATCCCCCTGCCACGGGCAGGGACACCTCCCACTAGACCAGGTCGCTCAAAGCCCCATCCAGCCTGGCCTTAAATGTCTCCAGGGATGGAGGTGTTTAAGGTCAGTTGTTTGTAGTATTTATGCTAAAAACTGAGCTCATGAACTATCCTAGGCAAGCAGATAGGTACACAGAATTGGGAAGTCAAGAGCCCGAGTTGAACAAGAACACTTTGCAGCATTGTGCGCTGGTGAGTCCTCACCTGAGGTTCCAGGGTGCTGTGCCGTGGCATGGCATTTTTCTGTCTCTTCTGGAAACAACACGCCTAATAGTGGCAAGGAAACAGTGATTGTACTGTGTGAGTGATTCAGTTCTCCTGTGGCTAGTGTGCTAGATCTTTCCTGTTGCTTCAGACCGAGAAACAGTTTTGCGGTCTGTAGCAGATTTGTTTTTGTAGTATTTTTATTCTTCTGTCAGTTTGCAGGGTCACCTATGTGTAGCAATGCCTCTCAACTTTGTCACAACCAAGCTCCGTTTAACTCTTATTTTTTAAATAATTGTAAGAATGAAAGTCCAAGACAAGTTCTGAAGACCAGAGTTACAAAAAGGTATTAGTGAAATTCTGAAGTCCTTTCATTGCTTCCACATTTTTACGTAATCTGTAGTATTGTACTTCAGTTACTAATAATAGACTAAGTTGCGCTTTTGTTTGCAAAGAGCTCAGTTTCTTGGTAGGGTATATTAAAACTATTAGCTGAACATGGAGAAGTATTGTGTCCTACTCAGTCTTGAAAATTATTGCTGAAGTCAGCCAAATTGACCTACTTGACAGAAAATCCTTCTTAAATATGGTAGCATTTATTGTTCCAGAAGTGAGAAGTTTTAATGATTCAAATAGCTTGAATAGTGTTTTTAGGCACCAGTTCTTTGAGAGCTCTGAGTTGGAAGTGTTTTTGAGTGCTGCTCTATTTTTAAGTGTTTCAATTCTAATTGAAATGCAGTGCAAGTCAAGGCACTGCCTGTAGCTAACAACCTTGGAAGGTGGAAAAGTTTTGGTCACTGTTTTGTTCTCTAGTTGTGTGTGTCATCTGTGAGCCTGTGCCTCTCTCTTAAAACAAATCTGAGTTGTGCACTTCATGTACCGGCATTTTTCCATAACGTGATTAGAGGAGCACAACATCTGCTCTTCTACCCCGTTTATAGCTTATTCTCAAAAGTACTAAATGTCAAATGCAGTGGATTTTGTTAGTGAGGTGGTTGGCTTCCTGGTATTTCACAGTACTGCTTCTTATCTCCCGTCATCCAAACTTCACGTACATGGTAAGTGAACAGACAACAAGTATTTGAATAACCACTGTTTCGATACCATCTTGCAGATCAGTTTACTCACTTTCCATAGAACATTAGAATTTAGGCATCTTTTGGCTTGCTCATAAGTTAAAATTAAAGAATTCTATATGAGCTAAGTGTTCTTAAAAATAACGTATTCTTTCAAGATGGAGTGTGCTTAACTGAGTAATTTTTCTTTGAAACTGAAACTTTGAAACTTTCAAAAATTTGCCATGCCTCGTCCAGGCTTGTTGGACGCAAGCAGTTAAATTTCTTACTGCAGATACAAACCAGATGAGAGCTGGGAGGGGCTTTTAAGTGATTCTGTTAGACGCATCGGTCCTGGGTAATGTAATTTATTTCTGCAAATGATTGTAACCGGGGAGGCTATAACGGTAGGCATAGACTAGTCTTCGCTGCTTCTGGGACCATTTTTGTCTGTTGTACACAAATCAGTAAGACTTTCAGCATCTTCGTAGTTCTGCCACTATACATAGAGTAAGTTTTAAACACAGCAACCTACATATGCATTTAATTGCTTGTGTATTGGGTATTAAGGATAAACATTGGAGTGCATGTGTGACTTCATCCCTTTATTTTGCAGTTTTGAAGTGATAAAAGTTATCCATGGCAAGTTATTGGATATGGTGGGAAAAGTCCAGTAAGTAGTGACACTTTCATCTCATTTCATTGCAGGCATGTTACTAGTACTTTGTTCAGTATACTGTAACTGTTCTGAAGTTCTGAACTTTCTTTCACAGAATACCCATTATGCTGGTTGGAAATAAAAAAGACCTGCATATGGAACGGTATGTCAACTCCCGTATGTGTGAAATGCAAGACAGCAGCCTTATTTCCCTGGTGTTGTGGGGTTTATAGCAGCTTTCCGTAACTAAAAATCAAATTGTAGGTTAAAATAAGGTACTGGCGAAGGAGTTGTGTCCAGAATGTGAACTAGGAGCCGTGAACTTCTGTTGTAATGTTGACTTTTGCTATAAGGTTGCAGGGATGGTCATTTAACGCTTTGGGGTTTTTCTTGAAAACAAGAAACAGAAGAGTAATTTCACAACTGTAAAATACCAGACGATACTACAGATTGTGAAAACAAAGCAATACTTTGGGACAGCTGCTCTTCTGGGTCGCAGAGCAGTTTTACCTGGCCCAGTAGTGTGTTTCACTGCAGCCAAAAGCAAATGCTCTGGATCAGACTTCACAAAACATTCCTATTACATGCATTTATGTGCTTCAGTACTCTGAGGTCTTTCCTGACATCAAATTCCAATTCTTTTGCAAGTTACAAAGAAACATAATTTTTCTTTTCCTTTGGTCAGGGTGATCAGCTATGAAGAAGGGAAAGCTTTAGCAGAATCCTGGAATGCAGCTTTCTTGGAATCTTCTGCTAAAGAAAATCAGGTAACGGATTTAAGATTCACTTTATTTGAATAGCAACTAATAGAATGACTCATAGTTTCACTTAATAAAGGCAGCTAAAATATTTGCTTGTACTGTACAGATATTTTGTGTAGATGGTTGGAAACAAAATGGTTGTCTGCATTCAGGTTTATGTAGACAAGATTTTCCATCCAACTGTAAACGGAAGGAGGAAGTGAAGAACTGAAAGTTAAGCTTCACTGAACATAGCAGAACACTTAGTGGCAAACTGAAACCCAAATCCGTGTGGTGGGTGGAACAGGGTTTGTGATCTGCTGCAGTTACCTTAAATAGGAGGTCCTTGGGGTTGCAGAGGAGTGAGTTGGTATAAGGGGATGAACCTCACATTTTAAGGTGCTAGGCAAGGCTCGGTTTCTCTTATGTGGGGGAATAATCGTTTTCTGGGTCCGTGGTGGGGGCAAACAGAAAAATGTTAGAATGCAGCAGAGGCTGTTGGACACTGCTGTGATACAGCCGTAGTGAAGTTGCACAATCTGACACAATGCAACCTGCATGCTTTTACGCTAATTAGCTTCCTATCACAGAAAGAAAGGGTTTAATTACATGTTAAATAATGTCTTATTCTCGGTTACTTGAACTAACTTTCTTTTGAAATGCCTCCTAAATATGTTCTGGTATTTGAATTTGTCCCTGTGGCTGTTAATACTACTTTGTCATTGATTTGACACCTCATGTGTCTAAGGTACAAGAGCCTCCTAGTTTGGGCTTGAAGTAATGGATAACTGCTGCGCATTGTGGGTGTGTGTCTTTTTTTCCTCTTCCCTGTGCCCCCTCCCCCCTTTCTATTTTTTCCCCTATAGGTCTCAACAGCATCTATATTTTCAGCTCTTTGAAAATACAGACATATGATAAGGTCAGAAGGAGATTGTGAGGCTTATTTTAAACAAATTAGTCCTTATGCAGAATAAATGCTTACACTGTCTCATATTTAACCAAGGATATCACACCCTTGGCCTCCTCGGTAATGTTAGCACAATCAAAAGGGCAATCTTATAGCTAGGACAGGGCCTGTTTAAGCAGCCTTTCTTTCCCTCTCCCCCATCTCCAAAACCAAAACAAATAGCTTTTGTCCAATGTCTGTTGTCAACAAGTCTACAAGTTACTTAAGTAAAGTTGGATTTTCCCTGGAAGAAAAACTTGGAATCTTCCCCCCCCTCCAGATTTGGAGCACTTGGAGTTAGTGTATCAGTACTTCTGTTTCTGGCTAAGATTTTCATTAACCCTGTCAAAATTGGGCATGATGAAAGCATGAAATTTCTCAATATCTTCTCTGTACTGCTGGAGATCTTCAAATGCATACCCAAGGAAACTAAATTGACAGTGTAAAGAATAAACCAGTTAAAAGCACCCAATTTCCCCTCCAGCCCCTTTACTTTAAAAGACTTAATACTTCTGGATTAGTCAGAGCTATTGCCCAAACTCTTCTTTTGGCATATGTTTGCAATGCGTAAAAACGTAGCAATTCATATCTAGCAGAATATCTTACTGATAACTTTTCTGAAGTTTGTATTGTTCTCGGTTCAAGAAAAAAAACGTTGGGTATATGTATGCAAAGCAGTGACAAGCTTTATATGGTAGTTGGCATGTTTTGCATATTAAATTGCTGCATGAACAAAGTCCCATTGACTGCCATGTATTTGTGTCTGTTCCTTAGTCTCAGACTCTCTGTATTAAGGTATGCTGCCAGCATATATATATATATAAAAAACATAGCAAACTTTGTAGCCTCCAGGGAAATTGGAATGGCAATTGCATGTCAAATTGCAATGCACTCAGAATTCTGAATAGTCCTATACAAATCCCACCAAAAAAAAATCAGAAGTTGTGTTCATTCTTGCTCTCAAAGGTGTTCTTACCAGGCCTTCCTTCCAGCAGGATCCTTCAGAATAGCAATCGCAGGTCACTGTAAATTCTCTCCCTCTGGATTTAAGCACAGGTTGTTAGAAACAGGTCCTTGAACACAATTCCTCCTTCGTGCCTCTTATATAGCACACTGGGTAAATTTGTGAGGTTTGGGAGATCATAATGTCACTTCAGAGATGGGTGCCCACAGCACGTGACCATCTTTCAGGCTCTCTGCCATGCTTCCTTTGGAGGCTTGGGATGTGCAGAAGAATGTGTGAAGGAGCCCAAAACAGGCCTTAGTCGTCTCGCAAATGGTCGCGGAGGAATGCTTACCTGAAGATTGATCTTTGAGAGCAAAGTGTGGAGTCTAGAGCTGTGAGGTGCTAGGGGGAACAGGAGGCACCAGGCATTGTAGGGTCCGTCGCTTCCTAGGAGTTAAGACAAGGAGCGCTTCTGAACTCGTGTTTTTTTTTCCTCCAAATCCTAATTTTACAGAAGCAAAACAGGTGCTACATCGACCTCTCTCAAGACAGGATATTGTCTCTTATTCTGAAACTGCCTCTGATTTGGAGGGGAGAAGGGTTTATTTTGAACTCAGTAACAGGGTGTGTCGTCATTCTCCTGGTACTGAACGTTCACCTTACATAAGTCAACATTACTGGCAAAAGAAGTCTGTCGGCACTTTTGTTTGGAGGTTCATACAAATCACCGCCTGTAGTGGCTTGGTACAGCAAATGTAACTTGCCTATCAAGATTAAGTCTGAACTCCTTCCAAAACTGCCTCAGATTCTGTTTGCTTTACAGAAAGCTAATTTGATGCTTAAAGGGATGAGCTGGACTGGATTGGGAATTTAGAGCTTAAGAACTTCAGCAGAGAGCTCAAACCTTCCTGACTGGGGTGAAGTCTGTTAATCCTTTCTCTCTGCAACCTAGCCATCTGTGGTTGGTGGATGTGGAGCAACAGTATGACAATTTCTAATATGCTGGTCTGAAATTGGCTTTGTACATGATGTTCTTCGCAGCAGCGAGGAGAATAGGTCTCCTTGCTAAAGGGGTTGAACCAAACTCAATCAGCTCTGCAGTCTGTCCTTTGTAACAGCTCTGTTTGCAAGGAACTGCTGAAAGCAGAGAAGATATTCCCTACAACAGGTTCTGAGAGCAAACGCTCCTTCCTGTACGAGGGGGTGGGAGAGCACTGACTCTTCTCCCTTCCTGCTTTGGGCAAAAATAAAATCCTTTTTGGAGCATCTGTGAGAGTCCTAGGAGCATATCCCTACTATATTGAGCAACTGAAATAGTTCTACAGATTAACTTCAATAAACTAGACCTATTTTGCCAGGAGTTATCAAAAGATACCACATTCCAGAAATGGCATGACTTTGAACAGATGGAAAACAACAGAGACAAAGATCAAAGCTGCGGTGTTGATAAATGGTAGCGGCTAGCAAGAGTTGTTGAGGTCAGATGTATTTGAGGCTATGGATCAGCTCCTTCAGGCAAAGGTGACCTGGTAGGACTTTCAGAGGGGCCTGCATATCAGCAACACATCAGTCATTTAGGGAAACCCCTGGACTTTGAGAAGGCAATTCTGAGACTTAATGGAAAAGACCTCTTTTAGATCGCTGTTGGGGTATTATTGTCATGTCTTCTCAAGCTGCTTAATTATTACCAGATACGTTGAACTGCTTTGGCCAACTTCAGGAGCTTTGAGCCTTTCTTATGGAATTCCCTACTTTGTTTCACCTAAGCCATAGTATAGTGCTTCACCTTAATCCCAGTGCAATGAATTGGTAACTGTTTGATATACAATCAGAAACTAAATTGGTCTTAAACCCAGTAGATGCTGGGAGCCAACTTTTACTTGAAGAATTTAGTGAGTAACAAGCAGCCAGATTGTATTCATCCAGTTACGCAAAATTCATTGGATAAACTTGTTTTAGAAGGGGCAAGGTAGCAACAAAAAGTTTCTTGCTTGCCGAAACGGAGCTCTGTTAAAAAGCAATTGCTTGGGCATTGTTTCTTTTGCAAGAGCAACTTCATCTTCAAGCTCAGAGGATGGAGCGCTCAGTAAATGCTTCAGAGAGTGGTTTGGGATCTCAGCCCCTCTCCAGGGGTCTGACGTGTTTACCTGGGAGTGTTTGGGCCGCCAAAGGATACAGGGAAACACCTCTCTTCCTTTACCTGACTGTTGTTCAAGTTCCTTTGCCCAGTTCTGTGCCAAGATAAGCTATCAGTATGAGCAGCTGAGTTTCAGTTGAGTTTCCTTTTTGAAATAGTAAAACAGTTGCACAGTTGAAAAATACAGTCTACCAAAGGATGACTCCAGCGGCTGTGGGCTGGATTTGGGTGTTTGCGCCTTCCTGCGCTGGCTCCTGGCACTGTGTTCCCGATCTCCCGACTCGTGCAGAGAGAATTGCACCTCCCGAGCGGTCTGTCCCGCTCGCGCCAAGGGGCGCATCTGCAGAAGCAGTCGAGCCTCTCGCGTCTCTTGCACGGTGCTGAGCTCTCTAGGCAGCGTGCCTTGCCCAGGCTGACATCTATTTTGTTTTCTCAGGGGGAAAAGGTAGAAGAAAGCCAGATGGCTTTCTGTAGGCTAGGTGTGACCCACATTCTGTAATTGGGCCATATGGAGACAAATGCATATAAGGTCTGGCTGCGTTCTTTATTCCTTGTCACAGAACACAACTTTCTGCATTGTTTAAAAGTTCATTCTAAAATTCTTCCGCATATTTGGCCTGAATTACAAATTCCTAAGTGTTAACTGTAGGACAGTGCTTAAACCTTCTCAGTGACTATGTTTTCTGTGAAATGAATTAACAAGTCCTGTGAACTCCTACGTCTTAGTATTTCAAACAGCGCATCTTTTGACAGAATGTACAGCTTCTTGGTTGACAGAGTAAGTTGTGGAGGTTTTTGTTAATAGATGCTTTGAAGCAGGGGTATAAAGAACTTCCGCGTTAAAATGAAACCATTGAAAATGTCAGCTCTAAGTAGGGAAACATTGCAGTGTATTTGTAAATCAGTATATCACCAAGTTTTGATTAAGGGAAACTCTTCATTAGTGGCACCAGTTTGATAGCAATCGCAGCCCTGACCGTAGTTCTAAAATCTAATTTGCCCAGGAAATGTATAGTACTGGACTAATGAGCCGCTTTTGTCAGTCAGTTGGGATTGTATGGAAACTTCATTATATGGAGGAATACTCTCTTTCCAGCTGATGAAGTATTTTAAATAGTTCGAGATAGTACTGTGCACAAATGGTGTAAATATGGGAAACTTTAACATTCAGTCTAATCTTGTTAAGATTGCTTTAAGATTGTTAGGGCTAATTTAGTCAATGGGATTAATTTGGAAGTGATCCAGTTAAGAATTATACCTTGTGGAGGCAGAAAAACATATGTCAGGTCAGAACACAGTCATAAATCACCGGGTGCTCTTCAGCCTACTGATTAAACCCAACAAAACTCCCCCTTTATCTTCTTTCATAATGTGACTGCTTTTATATAATGAATATGCTTTCCTCCTTCAGGAGCGTATGCTTGGAATTCATGAAACGGGCGGCTAGATAAACTTAAAATGCCATGTCTCAGATGATCAGGAGACCATTTCCAAGTTGAAGATTCACATGCTGAAGTGCTGATCATACGGTGAATCTTCAACTTGAAAATACCATAGAGAAGAAAAGTACTTTAGAGTTGTCCTTGACTGTAGTATAGATTGTTTTATTCTTAAGTCACTTCTAGGCTGTTACTTCAGATGCTGCATGTTGTAGTTGTAGTTTCTGCATATTCTGATGGAGGTTAGTGTACAATTTTGAGACCCTTAAAATGAAGTGAATCCTGAAAATAAGTGAAGGTATCTACTACAAGTAGCATTCATGGCGTTGTCCCAGACAGCCTTACTCTCCCCACCTTTCAGTATCCTTGAAAACAAATAAAACCCCACCAAAACCCTAACTACACATAATTGAACTCTTCTGTAAAATCTGCTGAATCACTCAAGTGGTTTGACATCCTCTCTTAGTGTCTCTGCTTCACTTAAACTTATTTTCATGGGAAACTGCATCTTTCCATCCCAAGATTTTTAACTTGTGCTCGCTAGGACGTGTGTGTCTGGGGAAGCATCGCCCTTCTGAGCCTGCGCGCTCCGTTTCGGCGCCTGGAGCTTCGCTAGGGGAGAGCCTTTTTTCACCAGACTGCTGTGTGTTCAGCGTGAAGGGGGCAGACTCGGTGTAGAGCGAGCGGAGCTGATAGCACAAGTGACTCCTACTCTGAGAGCACTCACTGCATTCCCTCTGAAGGAGCGAAGGGATCCATAGCGCTGGTGTGGCTCATGATTTTGTAGAGAAACTTTGTAATCCTGTATGTTCCATCCAGTAAGCTCCGATGTTTGTGTGAGCCTGACCGTGTTACAACAGCTATCCTACAGTTCAAGCTGCTTAAAATATAAAACCCCCTTTCTCTCAGAAGGGCTTTATCAAAGGATAGTGCTTAATATTGGACAGTGGCTAGTTTGGCTCCTGTTTTCTCCTTGTGTTCTTTCTTGCACCGTGGCTAATACTGCTCTTACCTATAGGTAAGATGAGAAAATCAAGAATATTACAGTAACCCTCGTACTGGGCTGTGCAAAGTCAGTGTTTAGAGCTGAAAAATCTGCTGCCTTCTGGAATTACTTAGAATTCTTAAAGATTACTTAGAGGAAATTAATTGGTTTATTCTCCGGAGCAGCACAGCATCAAAATCTTCAATGCCATCAGTCACTCAGCACAAGCTTACTATATAAAATAAAGCAGAATTACGGTTATTAGCTCTGTTGTGAGTATGGCTCAGTTTAAACTCGCCCTCCCTGCAGCGACAGAGAAAATAGTTGTGGATTGCTGTGGAGAAGGGGGTTACACTTTTCTTCCAAAAGGCTTTGTTCCAAATTGAAATTACCATATTTTACCTCTTTGATTTGGGAATAAGTGTTGGACGTGCGTTTATCTGTTGGTGTAGCCAGTAAAACTGCTAACTTTTTTTTCCAGTAAGTGGGCAGTTTGTTGTTGCCTACTAATCTTGTGCTCTCTCTTTGCAGACTGCCGTTGATGTTTTTAAGAGGATAATTTTGGAGGCAGAAAAAATCGATGGGGCAGCTTCACAAGGGAAGTCTTCATGCTCAGTAATGTAGTTCCACTGCAAAACCAGAAAACACTGGGAATACATTCTACCTGAAGAAGCAAAACTGCCCATTATCTTTAAGGATAAACTATGCTTCTTTTTTTTTTTTTATTTTTTTTTTCTTCTGTTAACCTGAAAGATAAACAGTTGGTTTGGAGCCTTTCCCTTCAGATTATGTTAAACTCTGACTCCTGTGCAAATGGCTTCACTTCCATTTTCAAATTTTAAGCAATCATATTTTCAATTTATATATTGTATTTCTTAATATTATGACCAAGAATTTTACTGGCATTAATTTTTCAGTGTAGTTTGTTGGTTAGAATAATCATCAAAATGATGCATATTGTTACACTACTATTAACTAGGCTTGGATATCAGTGTTTCTTTGTGTTAAATGTATACTTGTAAATAAAATAGCTGCAAACCTTAAATGTTCTGTTTATAATTTTTTGTTGATTACTCTATATCAACTTTTTTTTTGTGCGCGTGTGAAAAATGTTCACCTGATGACCTTAAGAGGAGGCGTGAGATCCTTGGAGCCAATGGATTATTTGACTTACCGCTTGGGAAGCTGTTTGTGAGCGAACCAAACTGTTTTTGCTAGTCGAAGGGCAGGCTGGCCCAGTCGCTCAGCTGTGCTTTGTGCCAGCTCGTGGAAAGAAGGCACAAGTGAGACATTTGATGTGGATGGGAAGGTGTGGGTTTTCAGACAACCTGCACTGGTTTTTTGTTGTGTTTTGTTTTTTTTTTCCTCTGCAACTGTTAAGAGTGACGGAGTCAAGGTTCTGCAGAGCTGTCCCAAGCAAGGGGCCGGCGTACACCTGCACTACAGACTGTTCACGTGGACTTGTAACTAGGAATGCTGTCAGGATGGAGTGGATTTATCCAGGTCACGAGCGTAGACTTGTGAAGAAAACAAAAATGTCATTTAAAATAAATTGCACGTCCTGAACAAATCGATGTGGATTGTTTATCATGCAGTTCTGTATTTTTGCATCTGGACAGCAGTGGTAGAGGTGAGTGGTCTCCTGGTGCCTGACCTTGCACAGCGTCGGGGCCCTGCGCAGCTCTGGGCATAACTACTTCCAAGTTTTTGCTTGGCTTTTGGGCTAGAGGCTTAACGAGCCTTAATCTCTTAAATCTGGAAACAAACTACTTCAGCTATATATTTAAAAAAATGTGCGGTTGACCTACTTTGCATTTATAAACAAACCCCAAAACAACAACAAAAACAAACGAGGCCGATTTGGGGAACAGTTAATTAAATGAAATGTTTCTCATGCATTTTCGTATCCATTTGAAAAATTAATTTCTGGCAGAAGTAAAATGGAAGGGAAAGTTGCAGTGTTTTTGCAACCAGAATTAGCTTTTGCATTTCAGTCTGTGATAAAAGATAGAAATTCAAGCATCTCTTCATTTCTTGTACTGTGGTTCCCTTGTTTTATGTAGAAGATTGTCTAAACCCCTCAATTAATGATGTATGTAGAAAAACTTACTATTTTCTTTGGTCACCGTGAGATTAACTGGCTTCTTGGCAAAAAAGTTGCCTTTTTTTCTTCTAACATTTAGGCTGTTTCCCAAAATTTCTGAAAGCTCGTTTCTGTTACTTGAATTTTCATGCCCTGTGCCAAATAGGGCTTCTGTAGGTAGACAATTGTCACACGCGATAGATCGCCGAAGTTCAGCACAGTCAGAGGTGCTCATTCTGGGAAACTGGTACACGCTTTCATTTCAGAACCAGGCTGATCTGGGGCTGCGCAGTAGGTTTCCTTCATAAGAACCTGCGACACTGGAACGAGGGTGGTTTGGCTGATAGTGAAGTTGCTTGAGGATTCAGAAAATCATCTTCTGTGGTACTTGGGGCAATATGCATCTGTTTGGTAGTATCCTTCATTGCCCAATCTTGAGGTGGTAGATGATGCATGGCCGGAGTCTTTGGCATCGCATCCTGGACACAATGTCATGTGGTCTACAACAAAAGGTAAAAGTTGTGGAATACCAGAAACCTCAAAGACCACGTTTACACTTTTTTTTTCTTTTTTTTTTTGGTAAAATAGTGGCCTTGTGTCCTGGTGATCAATCTGAAGCCTGAAATAGCCGCTGCGTCGGTGCTTGCCGTGTGCTGGCTGCTAAGGCTTTACAGGGGATGGGTGAGGAAATGTGGAACTTGATAGTCCTGGGATCATCGAGGCTCTGCCTTCAGGGGTGAGGCTTTTCAGGAGTGCAGGTTCTCTGGATGATTTGCAAAGATGAGTTCTAAGGCTTGATGTACTCGGCACTGTGAAGCGTGTACTGCTCTTGCATTTTCTGTAAGAGCTGAAGAATTGAATTCATCGACATACGTTGTTTCCTTTCTCCTACCACTGACTCATCCAGTAAGAAATGCAAATTACTCCACTCGTCCAAGCCTTTCCCTGCTAATAAGATCTAGAGAGCAGCCATGTGCGATAGTCCTGCAGTTTTAATGAACTGGGTAGTGAAGCGCGGTCAGTGAACTACTTGTCCTTTGCCGTATAGAGATTTCAGTTGGCTTCTGGGTATGGCTCCTTCCGGCAGCGGGAGTCCAGTGGAGGCTGGGGCCGCCTCCTGCTTCCGCATCCTCACTCAAGAGCTGGCACGGGTTGGGCTCTTCACCGTGAGAGCCCTAAAACGGGGTGGTGGGCAATGTTGGAAGCCCTTATGTACAGAAGCAAGAAATCAGTATCTAGCAAACTGCTGCTTGCCTGGAATTGATGAATTTAGATGGCCTTCTCTGGCAGCTGCCCTGATCCTTTGGAGGCTTCTGGAGGATTGTGATAAATGGTGCACGGATTAAAAGATGGGTCACGAAGGAGCTAAGTTCTCTGGTCCAAGCTAGAAAAAGGTTGATACGCACTTAATGGGGCCCAGCCTTATTCTTAAGGGATGATCGTTGGCAAAGGGGAAAGTGCGAAGATCCTTTTCCTGTTGAGGAAACGAGCAATATTTAACTACCATAAGTCAAATTAAATTCCCATCAACTGGCATGGATTTAAAATGTATTGTTGGAAATTATTCCTGCCTTGCTTGTGCTCCTGTCCAGCTTTGTGCTTTGCTGTGTGAATACTGAGAAAAACCTCTCGGTATCCTGAGCTCAAGAGACTGCGCCGCCCATGGCCCAGTCTGCCGCGCACGGCGAGTGCGGAGGACCAGAGGGCCGGTGGGGCAGGAGTGGAGTATGGACTGCAGGCAGAAAGTGCATATGTGATCCTTCTTTTGCTGTTGTTCTTGTTTCTATGCATATCAAAGTTTATCTCCGCTTGATTAACTCCACAACAGGGAAGTCTTGGAGGCAGTCTGCTTTGGGTCTGTGGCGTCTTCTGCCTAATGTTTCTTCCCAGCTTCTCTAAGGAGTTGGTGAATGCACGCCAGACAAGGAAAAAAGCTTAAAGAAGTGTTACTGCTCCCTTGTGTCTGCAGTAGTTGTATTGTGGTATCTGGACCGGGCAGCCCTATGTTGTTCGTCAGCCGAGGGCAGAGAAGTGTGGGCTGAAATTGGACACTGCTGAGGAAGTTCTCACAGCGTTGGAGGCAATGGTGAAGACTTGGGGCTGCCCGTTTTCTAGCTGCGTTCAACTGAGAAGTTTCTACATACAGACTTGCACCCTGGAAGCGATGGAGGACAACTCCTGTGGTTCCCGTTGCTTCTGGCACGGGTGAGCGTGAAACATCCAGCTGGGTCTGTCCCACCTCGCAGCAGTTTCCTTTGAAGTGGAAGAGGGGCAGCAGCCCGAAATGAGAAGGGCAGCCTGTGTCATGATGCGTATTTTGTATTTTCACCTTCTTTAAAAGAAATGTGCAGTCTTATACCTTTGTTGCTAAAGAATTTGTGCTGCTGCTCCGTGCAGATGTCATGGGCTGCGGTGCAGGCAGTGACGATGCACCCGGGCGTGCTGGGCTTATCCTGCTAATTAGCGCTGCTGTTCTGTAGCCTCTTGAGAAGGAGAAACCAACGGGTCCTAATTAGTCCTTATGTAATCAGTACTGCTCATCTTCAGAGCGTTTAGCTAATACTGAGTAATCTTCACAACCTCATCTAATAAGGTCGGAATTACTCCCCTTTAACAGCTGGGGAGGGGGAGTGAGAACCCTCACACAGATGCCTTCAACTTGTTATGGGCACGGCAGAAACAGGGCTAAACTGGGTCTGAGCGAGGGCTGTCCTCAAGCATCCAGCTTTTACTTGGGTGTCCTTAGGTTTCCCTACTGGAACCTTGCCTTTTTGAAATAAGATGAAAACTGAAAGGATTTCACCTAAAATCCTGGGCTTTCTTATGTTTTCCAAAAATGAGAAATCTAAGCTCCATCTCAGTCAGATGCTTGTTGTATGAGGAGCTGCACTAATACTGATCCCTACACAACAGTACTGAAAACAAGCTTTTGCAGATTTTATTTTTTTTTTTTCAATATCCACATCTCTGCAATGCTGCGAATAAATATTTGGCTAAACCTGGCCAGCAGATCCCAACCTCAAAGTGAGGAGTTATTTTTTTTTCTAGCAGGAACCTGGCCAGGTCTGAACCATCCTTCCATGGCAGGGTTTGCTCAGGCATGAGGAGGTTTTTTGGAGTCTGTACTGCACACGGGACGAAGGAAGGTGTTGCATGGCAAGGGATGGATGGTGGGTCAGGGCGTGGGATGGCCACCCTTGGTAGAGATGTTGCATAGACTCTTTGTCTTGGTGCATCTGAGATGAAGACAATGTTTGAGGCCAAGACCATCGCCTGGCAGCTCATTCCCATTTCCAGCAACAGGTGATGTATTCTGCCAGTGAGGGTGTGGGTTGGAAGATCCTTTCTCTGCTTGAATGGTTTGCAGACATGTCCTGCAGTTGGTGTAACCAGCCTCTCCAGCAGCTCTGGGAGGCAGCACGTGGTGTACCCAGGCACTGGGAATGGGTTAATCACCAGTGGAAATTAGTGCTTTGGCAACGGGCGTGAGGTGGGCTAGGTCTTAATTGAGCAACATGAATTTAATATAGAAATTTTCCCTTGAGTCGGAAGGATGATTTCTCACTCTGGGATCTGTTGCTGCTCTGAAGTGGCCCACAAGATGTACTCGTCCTTTTCAGTGGTGAGCCAAAAAATTTTCCATGGGAAGGAGCTTGACCTGTGGCTGCTCCATAGCTAACCAGCTAGAAGCATCTCATAGGTGCGACGTGAAGAAATTTGTGAGCTTTTTAAAGCAAGATAGCCTTTTCAAAGCCATCTTTTCAAAGAGATGGATGTTTCTTGTGCTGGGTCTTATGCTGCTTTGCAAATACTAAAAGCTCCTCCAGAAGCCAGAGTGTGGCCCTTTCAGAGGACGTGGTGCAACTCCTTGGCTGTTGCTGACTATGATTTGCATGGGGTTGTACTGGCCATAGGAGTTACCTCTGAGCAGAAGGTGAATCGTGCTTAGCCTCTGCTATGAA